GTTGTGACGTACAGGGTTATTGATCATAAATGTCACGTCCTCTATCTTTTTTATTTGACATTTTAGAAAGAAGTGTCCCAAATAAATGTTTTATGGTTGAAACTAATTTTTTTTTTAAATTTACTTTCGCATATAAAGGGTGTTTCAGAAAAGCTGGTCGTGGTCCAACTTTTTTATTTCAAATGGAATACCCTGTATATTATTGAATATTCGGATTCAACGTAAAATCACAGCACATACAAAAACAATCAGGAAGATAACTCGCTTTGTATCCTCAAAGGGCGGCGTGCGCAGAAGAGATGCGCGTGAGAGTTAACTTCTGTTGTTTTTGTATATGTTGTGGTAAAATTCTGAGCAGATCTCAAGTGATATACACCATATACCCTCTATACCCATTCCGGTATCTAAGTTCAACTGTTTTGGTAATATTGTTAGTTGAAACTTGACTTTTTGCAACTTTGCCAGGCTGTAACGAATTTTCAACCATGGATTGAATTCAAAGTTGGTGTAAAATGATCAATGTCAAAGGAGTCATTTTTTTTTTCGCCTTTGAATTACCTTCGCGGTGCTTAGGGGGCGCCGGATCTCAGTCTCCCCCCCCCCTAGGGATAGTCATATCGCTACGGCCCTGCCGACAAACTGAAGAAAAGATAAATCCGGTGAGTGGAGAAAGAAAATCAGGAAGTGATGGAATAGAATACGGCTTGCTGATCCAGAAGGTCAATATTGTTCTTCACAATCTATAAATTCCTACGATGAGAAATACTACGAGTAGTACGACCGTTCGCGCAGACACAGACAAGGAACAGGTGGCTATTTTTCTAGTAGGGAGATGTAGAATGAGAATGATGAACGGAATAATTATGCAGTGCATGGAAGGGAAAGTGGTTGGTATATCCTGACAGGGTGTAGGTTTATCACGAGCATAAATGGTCAGATCGAGAGGGGAGCAGTATTACGAAATTACATTGGTGCTGAGAAGTCGACGTCATGGACACGAGTGCGAATATTCCGGAATTCGTCACATTTGTGATTTGAATAAAAAAGCATTTGCGTGATTCTAGAGCATATAGTTTGTAAGTCAGTCAGTTTAAATGAAAAAATTGTTTGAAATGATTAATTAATTTTGCGAAGTCAATTAATTCAATAAGAGTTATTGTTGTGAGTAAAGAGAGTTTTAGTGGACCCGAGGAAACTAAACCAACCCAAATTTTCGGCAGTTGTTTGGTAATATAATCATTAAAATATACCTATTAACTCTAATTTGCAAACGTCCATATTTTTGATTTATAATGCATTAAAGCGCTAATTCAATCAGCATTTCATCCTTAGAGGTAATAAAAATCTTTTTGTGCTAATGCAAATGAGCTAATTTCAAAAAACCAATCCGAATATTCTTGGAAACGATTGTCATATGTGTGGCAACTAGCAATCGAGTTTCATAAACAGAATGGGTGATCGGAAATCTCATACAAGGCCTTTCTATTGACTATTCTCACTATGGTGCCGATTGGAACCTCGGCATCGGTCAAAGACAAACGTGCAAATTTGATTTTTCATATCATTATATAAATGGTTTTCCGATCGCCTTTTTTCATTGTGGGACTTTCTTGTTAGCTGCCAAGCACGGCGGGAAAATCTTTTGGAAAAATATTCCGTACACACACAATCCCATAAAGAAAGTTGACAAATCACCCAAAAAAACACAAATTGGTGTGAACGCTAAGGCGGTCACCACATTAGTTGCGACTTCTATTCGTACGATTGAAATGTGCTTGCTAAAACAGTGTAATTCAAGATTCAGTGTATCCAATAATGCTTATGCAAATCATCGACCAGGAATAACAAAATTTTTACTTGATGAAACCGATATTTTATTGTAGTTCCTATTGCGAACTAGTAAGCTTCTGATCCAATAGAGACCGAGTTTCCTACATAAGACCCATTAATTTTCCATAATTATTTATTTCCAGTATTCACTGTTGTGCATGAAATTTCATACGAGCTTGAATGCTGAGAAAGATCCTATGACGGGAAGATGCTTTGCAGTTTTATTGTCCAGCTAGTGATAATTGGTTTTAATGATGAGATCCAAGCCAATTCAGAGGCCTTACAGCAAAATTCATGGATGAAAAAGTCAAGAACTGATGTGAGTAATCATTTGGAACTTTTTCAAGAATTTCATTTAAACGAAATACTGGTTTCCTAAACAAATTGAAAAGAATTAGGTATCTACGCGATAAATACGCTAGTATAATAATTCTATTTTTCTACAAGCACGCATGGAAAGTGACATTTTGCTATTTGTTGTGACAACGCAAAGTTGGCCTTTTTTGATAGCTGCCACGGGAGACAATCGACAAAGTAGATTTTGCCGATTGATTGCAGATTTTAACTTGCAATGGTGGGAAAATTACCAGTACCTAGTGTAGTTATTGACATTTAATTTGCCTCTATTATAATATTATATTATATTATAAGTAACATTTTGTTTTTTAATGTCAAATGAAATCCATTTCAATGTGTATTTTCAATTTGAAAAGTTTTATTTTCTGCCTCGTTTTCCGCATCCTTTTTCCGTGCTAGTGCAGGAAAGTAAAATGTCTATTATTGGTAGGTACATTGTATCAATAAAAAAGTATGGCTGTCCATTCAAATCGGTGTCAAATAACAAGTGGCGGACCACATCGTGTCAAATATTATAACTTTGATCAATTTTCTGCATATTCTATAAAATAATCGATAATTTTCAATGCACTACACTTGCATTTTACGCACGCTCTAATTGTTCGCATACTTTGTATCTTTTTTCACGGAAGTAAGATTGGTAGGTACCTTATATTTTGGGTGTATAGCTAACGCTTCAAGCTCGAGGATGAACATGTTTATGAAAATACTTAAAAATAAGAGAAAATGATTTCTAATATCTTTAAAATTATCGAAGGAAATGTCATCCCTACTAAGGGATGAGATTTAGAGAGTAAATATGTCAGAAAAATTTATCCTACTAAAAATTGCCGGCCTGAGCGTCAAGGAAGAAAATCTGGATATTTATGATGTGAGTATTGATAATTGTTAGTTCGGATACGAAAAATAAAGCACAAACAGTATAAAAATTTATCTATTTGAATAAATATTTAAAGTACTAATTGGCAATAGTAGTTCACTCAATATCTTATTGCATGTCAATACGACATACTGTCATATCGATGGATTTTTATTTGCATAATTTAATATACATTTTTCAGGAATTTTTGAATTGTTCCAAAATATATCCAAATGGTTTTCTGTACCTTGTTGGCATTTATACAAAACAACTAAATCGCGGCAGACTAGAATTTAAATCGCGTTAAGTGTTTTAAGTCGTTGTCTCGGTCATTGCCAAAATGATAATTTAGGTTTTGATCTTAAGTCGTTTTTTGGAAATAGTTTAGACTTTAAAACTGTGGATCTATTAATATGAGGCTCATACCTAATTACATAATTAATTTTTTCAGATATTTATAACTAAACAAAGATCATATTCCAACTATTGTTCCTATGTATCAAGTAAACAATTATGCGGTATATTATATCGGTTAAATTTTTTCACTGCATAATCAGTTTAATTAAATGAGACTTATCGAAAAATAATTGCATCGAATTGAACTGAGCTCATCATTGCAAAGGAGACGCGGAGACAGCCCGCGAGAGTAGAATGGAAGGTTGATATTGTAAAACAATTAAAATAACGGTAGTACAAAGTGAAATGACATAATGGATTGCGCTTCCCATTGAGAAGTTTAAGTTCGCTTTTGTACATGCATAAACGTGATATATGATTTTGATTATTTTTACTGGTTGATTTATTTGATGCTTGATGCCGATCTATCATTTTATATTACAAGTTGGTGTAATTTAAAACAATTATTTAATTTAAACGATTCTGGTAACAATTTATTTGAAACTAGGTTATCGGAATCGAATTTTTAATTAATCTCTCTTCGACGAACTACCTGTTATTTAAAATTATACTTAGTTAGATGCCGTCGCAGAACGTCGTACCTAAGTATGTAGTTCTAAATTTCATTACTAAAGTTATTAAAAAATTGCCTCAATTCAGTAGCTTATGTGTTTACCTAAAATTGTTGGAGATTTTAATTATATTTTGACACCTGCTTAGTCAAAACTGGCAGGCTTCGACTTGAGTAATTGGAAATTTTAGGGTATTTGCCAACGAAAACTTTATTGTATGTAGCTTGCCTAAATACTATTGTGACTGCTTGTGTTTGATGGAAAAAATAATGGAAATTAAGGTTTTTAATATCAAATATTGATTAATAGGTATTGTACATTTTTTGGAACTTTTTTTGAAATTACCCTGTTGAAAATACTAGTGATTTATGTGCATTTTATTCTAGTAAATTCTACTTTTATTCGCAAAATATGGAATTATTTATTTTATTATTTTCTGCAGAATTTTTGCATCCCTCCAATATTTTCAGAAAACAAATCTATTCAACGCCAATTTTAGTAGGTATTTAGGTAATATATTTTCTGTATGACAGTTTCAAAGTAGAAACTTTATAGTAAGGTACCTTCTTTTACTTTCAATTTTTTGTTACAGATATAATCATTTACTGGATTAGATGCTGATTTAATAGAATTTGGAACATCACTTTGAATAAACAGTTTATTTTCCATTTACTATGCGATATTTTCGAAAATGATTTTGATTGGAAAAAAAAATTTTTGGCAAAAAAAATTCAAATTGTGCAAATAGTCTCAAATATTTTTTCAGAGTAGCGTCATCTGATTAGAGATGTGTGAAAAAATGTTTCCACTGAAAGTCGCATTTTCATTTTTTTAAACTTTCTTTGAGGTAGTTCAATTTTGTTATTCTGTTATATAATTTGAAATTTCGAAATTTTCATCTTGAAAAAGAATTATAAAGGGTTGAAAACGAATTCAGTTAAATTACGCGGAAGTAGGTGTTAGTGGTAGAAACTTGGTGAACTCACTGTAGGGGCTGGTGTCATCGGTGGTTCCGTTGACAGTGCCGCCCGGCAAAAGCTGAAGGTGTCGATTTTTGATGAACATCTTAATCTTCCTGGCGGTGCCGGTAACGTGAGATAAGTTAGCGGAGCGCTCGCTGCGGGCGGCGGGGTCCTCCACCCCCTCCGGGGGTGGTTTTGAGGAAGGGGCGGCTCGTGCGAGGGCGGCAAACAGCAGTAGGCCCAGCAGTAGCGCCTTCACCATGACTGGGACATAGTGCGTCACTGTCACTGTCACTGTCGTGTCGGCATCGGCGGCATGACGGGCGGCCGATAGACGGCGCGCGGCGGAACGAGCGTCAACAGCGTGCGGCTGTGGCGGCGGACGCACTGCCACTGCCGCGGTCTCGCGCCACCGACCACGAAGAAGAACTTAACTCACGACGCGCTTGCCAATGACCATCCACCATCCGATAAAGCGTCGCGACGCACCACTCAAACTTCTTCTCTTCCGCTACCAACCTGCGGCTCTGTCGTCCTTTCCACAGCCATCGTCCCCACTGTGCACTCGTCTACGACTGAATGTCAATTACTACTGAAACAAATTCACCTCATCAGACATATCAGTTTCTATGTATGCTTCCTCAATAATCATAATTAAATAAACCAAAATAAAATTTGTAGTAAGTTATACACTCCACTCTTGCCATCAGTTCGCGTTCAAATAAATATCATCAATTGTTGTTAAGGAATTATTTCATTATCAATACTCTCAAATTTTTATAGTTTATTTGATGACAAATTTTTGAAATCAAGGTATATTTCAATGTAATTTAAATGGTTACGTCACAATCAAGGTAACAATATACTAATTCAGATAAAAAAATTATTTCCAACGTCAAAAAAAAATATGAATAGGGTATTCAATAATGACATAATTTTAATAAAAACGAATACCGAAACACAAGTTTTCTATGTTCATGTTCATGAGGAAATGGACTAAACCCAAAGACATTAAAACTCAAAAGATCTGATTGTTTACATTTTCCTGTGGCAAATCATCACTCTTCTTTCTTTTCTCCTCATAATTTCCCGTTAGCCGGTCTTATTTGAAAAATATTAGGGAAATTAGTTCAAAATATGTAATTTCGTCCAGTAATAAATGTAAAAATAAATTAGAGTTCGTGTAACCAAACTATGCATAAACATTCTTAATGTAAGTTAAACATTTCGATAAAAACTCGAAAAATTATTAAGATTATAAAAATACTAGGAGCTATACGGCATCATAACGCTATTATTTCACGATTTTACATGGGAACCAGGTTGCCAATCCGCAATCCGGTCTAACAAATATTCTGACAAACAGAAGATGATGCTGATACGCTAATTCTATCAATAACCTCCCCGAAACTTATAGCTTCCATTCCTGACGTTCACAGCTATATTTTCATATTTCTGCACGGAAAAAAGACGGGACGACTAAGATACTCAAATAACTGTGCGAAACTTAAGTTTGGCCTTAAGGATTTGGACCCATCCCTTCTGTTTCAATTTCAGTTTTAAATTAGAAACAGCACCAGCCGGTTATATGAAATCTTTGTACTTCAATCTCTCTCCCTTCGTTCATCTTCAAAGGCAGGAATTATACCTTATTAAAAATAGGATAGTTTTAGGGTAATTAGTAATAGTTTTTACTAGAAAATTAGAAATAGAGAGGCCAATTTAGTCAAGTTTTTGTTAATTTTAGTATCTGTTATTGTCAGTGTGATAGAATTGTCATTAGTTTATAATTTTTTGAAACTGGCTTGAAACGCTTGAATCCAAATAGGGAATTTACTGACATTTTTGGGCTTTAATTCGTCAGTTGGTCCTTCGAAAGGAATTTTAGGAACAATTTGGGACTAGGAAAACAGAGAAAACTCATTATTGGCCATCATACAATCCTAATTATCGATTGTTCCAACACCTTCTTTTCTTCCATGCTGCCACTGATCGTGACGCTTGACCGCTTCCTATAAGAGGGAAAACCCAGATATTTCAAGAAGCCTCAAGAAAACGAAGCATTGCGAGATGAAATTGCTGTCTTCAAGAAGCCACATGACTCGCATGAAGAAATTGCTGGGGCAGGGGATGCTTTTCTGTATTTATTGCATGGTTGGGTTGGCCTATTAGACACGGGAAAGTAGAAATTGTACATGCGGCCCATACCCAAGCAGTCGCCTGAATCGAATATTGATTTGGCAAGTCTTCACACAGATCAACACTCACTCAGAGTCTATCAGCAGGTAGGACTAACACGGGTTGTACGCCAAGCTGAGATATTTTCTCAAATCACATCCCAATAGTTTAATTTCGTTCTGAACAAACACTAGATTAAGCCAGCCACTACCATACGGTCAGACATCATGGGCGATGTAAAGGTATCAGTTCGAGACTGTTGCGATGACTAATGGTTGCTGGCTCTGCCTTAGACCTATTATGCGCTGGCGTTAGATCATATTTGTGCATGAAGATCAGCACCGACGGCAGCCTAACTCATAAACAAAGATCGTTATGATTGGTGTCACTGTCATTGATAACGTGTTCGTCATCTTTCCTGGTTAAAACTTTACAAACTGATATTCTGATATTTTTATCTTGTCGTTAACTACCACAACGTTGCGAAAATTAATTCCAAAATATGCGGAGAAGGAGACTGCATTTTTTTTGCAAGATTTCTTGCAAAATTGCAGAATAATTTCTTGTCTTACTTGACAATTTCTTGTCTTGCGTTGCAAAGCAAGAGAAAAAATTTAGGAGAATCTTGACAGGAGGAAGTAATTTGCAAGAATCTTGTGAAACACTCCTTATCCAGGTGATCATGTCTAGTTTAATCCTAGTACAGCCTCAGAATTGATCAGCCTGTAGCAGTCCTGTTGGAAGTCCCGATTTGAAACGAATCAAGAATGGAGTTCTGAACAGCGTAGAAATGATCAATTAGTTGAAATGAAACAATTTGTGAATCTGAAGGAAACCGGTAGTAGATTTCCAACAAACTGGCAGGAAAACGGTCAGCGAAAAAAAAAACTAAAAAACATAATATTTGTGGGACACAACTGCTAATCCAGGAGGTTGAAATTATCTTTCACACAGATCCCTACTATTGCTACAACCAATTGATCAGGCGCAGACAAGGCATGGTAGTTGATAAGGAGAAGGTTGTCATTCTTCTAGTTTTCGACGTCAGACCATACGAAGAACAATCACGTAGGCGTGAGGGAAAACTGGATGGAGAATGATAGATAGAATAGCAAGTAGGTATATTATTTATAGAGTTATATATGGATCTGAAAGGTAGTATACACGTAGTAGAGACGGTGGTGCATCTAGACAGGTTGAAAGCTTATTAAGCAAATAAATAGTCAGATGGATCTGATCTGATTTGAGAGTTAAAGATTATTACGAAGTAACGTTATGCAGGGAAGCAGGTTCGCACGACTGTGTACGACTGGTGCGGAAATCTTCAGGCATTCGTACCTTTTGTGTGCATGGCAAGAAATTGTGAGAATGGAGAATTCTAAATTTTCTGGTTTGAGTGGTTCCGTATATGGGACGCGAAGTTTGTAACTTAGACGTAATTTAATGAATAAGGGAAGTTTTATACAGGGTGTCCCAGCCGAGAGTGACCCATTTTAAATGCCTATAACTTTTAAACCAGGTGTGCTAACTACCTGCGGTTTGCGTCATTCGTTTTCTCTTGGCCTAAATTTTTTTTAGTGGGTTGCAAATTTTCTTGCCTTTTATACAGGGTTCAAAAGCATGCAACTTCATGTTGTAGGTACTTTCTATCACTATGGCAAACAATTTTGTAAATATCAAGAAAGATGTCAACTAAGTCAAAATACATTTCCCAAGAGAATTTAGCGAGTTCCAGTGAGAATAGCGAGATACCCCAAAAGTTACAGTTTGATGTGCAATCTCTGTTGAGAAAAAAATACGGTCCATTTTTCATTAATGAACCAACGATAACAGGAATTGTATGCACTGATATGTTGGGAAATTTCTTTTATCCACAATTAAGACGGAAGGGTATCTTGGGTATATTATCAGCAGGATATGGTGCCCCATTTACTGGTCCATTAATGCGTGGAATATGATGGCTATAACATATACAGCATTTTTCACGGTTTAATGCAGTTTTTATTAACCTTTTTAGTAGGCGAACCTAATTTCCAAGCTTCGTAAACATGCTAATAAAAAATACCAGGATATCGATTTTAATTTTCTACGGCTATAACTTTAAGTTTAAAGGACGATGTTTATTGGTACATGGATACCTTAAAAATTACTCTTTTTTCTGACGTTGTGATATAATAATGGAGTAGGTATTTCGATGTTGGAAAACGATTTTTTTTTATCGCCCTGCCTAAGTTTGAAAAAAAATTGCAACCTACCTACTAAAAAAAAAAACTTTAGGTCAAGAGAAATGGTGCAAGCCGCAGGACCTGCTTGAAAAGTTAATAAGCATCTAAAATGGGTTACTCTCGGCTGGGACACCCTGTATAATATTGAATAAAAATAATCTAAGAGCAGAAATAGAAACCAAAAAATCCCTTGAATATCCCTGACCCATAAACGACGAACTATTATTCGGTGAATTTTTCAATTTTACCAAGGCTATGATTTTCGAGACCTGGTGTGATTTTTTGACGTTTTTACACATGACTCAAAATCTAGATTATTATCAAAAAAAATTGACACACATACATCAAAATCGAAATATATAGGCTTAAAAAATATTAGATAAGCAACAGATAGGTAAGATTTCAAAAATTGAAACCCCTTTTCTCGGGGAATTGAATAAATGACCTCCCGTTATCAGTACGACTATCTTGATAATTACAAAAAAAAAAATAATAATAAAACAAATTCTTACAATAATTTACAATAACAAAATTAGGAGATGGCTCACCGCGGCAAATCTATAAGTATTCACTGATAAACTTTCTCGACTATAATCGCACATGCTTTTTAGTTATTGATAATCCATTTCAAGGTCTTCACGCACTTTAACGGTTTTTGAATAAAGATTCCGTAAAAATTGTAAATGAATTTCGAAACTCTTCCATGATCGATGACTATACGAAGCGGTTAAGTAATTAATGTCTTCTAATCGGGCGCCTTCAATTTTTATACATCGATTAGTTTCAATAGTTTCACAACAGTGGGTAAATTTTGAATTTCACTTTTTACCGGTTGAACATTAATGGACGAGAAAACCGCACTTTGCACAAACCGACCACTTGGAATGTCTGATGCACCATAAAGAAATCACCCTTTGCGGACATTCTTAAATAATAAGCGAAATTTGAATAAGTTTTTGCGTGCCCCTACTTTTGAAAAATTTGCATTAAAGATTTTAATGCTTCTATTGTCATTGTGATTCACATTATTGAATACGTTTTACGAATCACTCTCATAGGTGAAATGAAAACGTGATCAAAGCACTGTAGACGGATTTTCCAACCATATAGTTTTCTAAGTGCGTTTCAGTCTGGTTTCCTTTATTCTTTTATAGAAA